CAAATGTATACAACTGAACATGTGCCATACAATGGAATTTGGCTCAGTTTCAGACTGAGACTTTATTTGCCAAACAGTGCATCCCAAAACCAAAAGTGTAAAATAAATGTATTACTGTGTGAAGTGCGTTAGCTATAAAACAATTTCAAAATTGAACATCAACCCTTGACAAAATAAACTTATGAATGCAGATTATATTATCTGCAAATGTTTTCATTTATTCAGGCGATTTATCCAATCAACAGCTGCCTTGACACATCCCATGGTGATTGAGTTATTGTGGCTAAGTTATCAGTGTGGCTGCAGATGGCAGGGCATGTTCCTGATACTAAACTGAAAAATATTTTTAACGTTACAGAACCAGTCCAGTTGAATGTGACTAACTACTACTAGCCACAATTATAGTATTTTGTGTTTTTTTATTGCTATATTATTTATAATATTTTGGGGTTTTAAGCAACACTGTTGCTTACTCAAAAAATATACCCATAGCCACTCTGTAAAGGTAGAAAGCTAATACTTACCTTTCAGGTAGGTTCCTTCCTCTGACCCCACACGTTTCTACTGTGTTTTGTAGTGAGGTAGGAGTTGGCAGGTGCAAACACAGCACCCATTGGGGGCCTCCCTATTCGACATACATGAAAGCATTGAATATCTGCAATGCCCAGGGTTCTTTAAGGCAGCACAAAAATCCCACCCAACCCACCTGAAAGGTGACTATTATTCATCTTCTTTTACAGACAGGCTGGAGTTTTAGGAAAATAGTTTTTCTTCCTGCAGCTTTATGCTTAATGTATGATAAAGGTAGAAACTAGCAGCAAGAATGGGCCCTCTTCATAGCGGCTGAAACAAATTAGTAGAATTTTGAACAGAGAGACAGAGAACCTAGTGCTTACCATTAGGGATATAAGAAGCTTGTATGGCATTCAACTTACCAGCATTTACTTACACTGGGGGGGACTGACCTATTAATCAATAACAGTTAAATTTTTTGTGCTGTACTTTCTAATATATATTTTAAAAGGAAACATATAGTATTTGTAGAGGTTTGTATGATAGCCATAGGAGGTAGACTTGTGAGCCGTCAAAAAATTTGTTCCGTTTCGTAATATCCATTATTTCGTATTTTGTAATTCGTATCCGAAACTAATATTTCCTGCCTGTGTGTGTATTGTATTGTAATTCAACCCTCAGCAGCAGCGGATCCGTATTTCGGATTAAAAAAAAAATGTCATGTTGTCATGTTGTTCAACCTCATTTTACAGTGGTAATATTAGTTCCTGTTTCAAATAAATTCGGATCCGAAATTCGTTAACGGAATTTCGGACAAAAATTCGGAAACTGCCATTCGGATTTCGTATGCTTACGAATTTCAGGAAAATTCGTACGAATTTCGATTCATAGCGAAACGAATCGCACATGTCTAATAGGAGGTAAAGTAGGCTAATAACTGTTAAGATATGATACCAGACAAATGTTGAATGCATAGTTTCCCTTAGAATATTTTTTATTAAGTTTTCCAAACAGATTGCGGTTATTCATTCAATAAGCAGAGGTAGAATACAATTTTCATAGTACAACCAAATCAACCATGTGTAAAACAGGCCTTGTTAGACTTATAACCAACATATAATACTACAACACTGATTGTCTATAAACAACATAGCAGTATGTAGAAATATTCTGTTTTAGTAGCCACTTTATAAACTAAGAATGACAATCCTGGTGATGTCCAGTGTTAGGGGTTATGGGATCAGGGGCAGGAGTAGCAAGTGTGGTGGGTAACTAGGAAGTATAAGAAAAGAAAAACAAGTGTGGGGGGGGGGATTTGGGGAGGAAAGAAGAATGGGGGAAAGGGAGCATAGTGGGAAAATAAATGGCATGCTTTTTCCAGGATCTGGTGAATGTCTGCTTCTCAGTGGTGTAGGCATGGGTGAGTAAATTAAATTCTGTTTTGGTATCTTCTGCTTTACTGCTTAAGAGGGCTTCTGCTGGGTTTTTTCAGATATATTTAGGAGTGTGAAGATTAGTCATTAGGTACAGGACCAAAAGTGCTTACTTTTCAGACAGTCACACTAGATTTGTCTGTACATGCCCTTGGCACTTCAACCCCAAAAACACTGGGAGGAGTAGGAGAGAATAGCATGTAAGAGTCTTGAAATTACTGGATATCAATGCTTAAGTGAGTTATAATTAGTTTCAGTGCTAGAACATTGATTGTGCTTTTTGCAGTATTAAGCAAGTAGCAAGTAAGTAGCAAATTTAGGTACTGAATGTCACAATACTGTGTACAGGTGTCCCAACACCACGTGCAGGTATCTCTACACGGGAACCAAATATGTGACCACACTTCAGATACCAAACAATTCCTGTGAACTATAGTTTATTAGAAAAACAACACAAACACATGCAACCCAACCACCACCCACAAGTAACATATGAGAGCTAAACTATATACAAATGACAAATCAGCTATCGGAGATAACAGGGCTGGGTATAACCTGGAGTGCAGGGCAACAAAGAGAAGAGCCGGGAGACACAGATCGGGGGGCTTCAGGGGTAAGAGTCAGGAGTCCGGTCCAGATCAGGGTAGAAGGCAGGAACAGGATACAGGCAACAGGTACAGGATACAGGCTATGGCAACAATACTGAGGCACAGGCCACCCTGCAAGCAGAGGCTAAATACCTCCCTAGACCAGCACCAGGTGGTGACTAATTGCTGGGAGACACTTGCAGGTGAGCATTGGAACTGCAGGTTCCAGCACCACAATGCCACCCAGAGGTGGTCTGGTACCTGATAGCTACTGGCTGGAGACACCTTCAGGTGAGCACTGGGACTGCAGGGTCTGGCTCCAGTGCCACAGTGCCACCTGGAGGTACTCCAGTCCCTGACACTGAAGGGTAGCAGGAAGACAGTATTTGTGGCTATATGGTGTAAATAATAAACAGGGCATGAGGTCTTTGGAGCAGAATTGTTCATATGGGGTTAGCCACAGGGGAATTTTGGTATGTTTGAGTATAGAAGATATGTAGGAAGGTGCAAAAGGCTAAGTGTGCGGTATAAGTTTGATAGAATATTTAACTCTGCCCCACACTTTAAAGGAATGTATTGTAATAAGGATGGGTAAGAGTTTCCAATATGTGGGTGGGGTCCATAACTTATGGGTGGATATAGGGGTGACTATGTAACCCTCCAAACTCACCCATATAGGCACATTTGATTGGGAATAGAGGAGGGCCAGGTGCAAGAGTTATGTAACTTGGTATGAGTTAGTAATATTTGGTCCTCTGAGGCCTCCTTGAACATTAATCTTAAAAAGTGTTTGTCTGACAATCCTAGGTCCCACATAAATGTAAGTATTTTGGTCTGGAGGGAACGCAGAATATGCATCCTAATTTGTCCTAACTATGACATAAGGTGTTGTTTCCAGTCTGATAGTAGCCAAAATAGGGACGTTTATTCATGGTCCAGCAGAAGACAAGACAAACTCTGCAAGATATCAAGGAAAGATTAATGTCCAATGCTTAGGATTTGTGGCTGTTCACATAGAGCCCTTAAATTCAGGCAAAACATTACATAGTTACATGGGATTTGAGGTTGAATAAAGACATTAGTCCATCAAGTCCAACCTATAGGATCTCATTCCTAGGAGTACTACTTGTATCCGTCCAAAGGTTTCTTGAACAATTCCACATTCTTTGCTGAAATCACCGCCTGTGGCAGTGAGTTCCAGACCTTGACCGCTCTAACTGTGAAGAAACCCCTTCGCCCCCTGTGCTGGAACTTCTTTTCCACCAATTTTAGGTGATGGCCTCTAGTTTTTTTTAATGTAGTTAATTTTAAACAGTTTATCGCTAATGTTGCTGTCACCATTGAACATTTTGTAAATGGAAATCATATCCCCCCTTAATCTCCTCACCTCCAATGTGAACATGTTTAAATTTAGTAGCCTCGTCTCGTAGCTCTGGTCCTCCATACCCCTAATTAGTTTGGTTGCCCTCCGCTGGACTTTTTCCAGCTCAATTACATCTTTCCTTAGTACTGGTGACCAGAACTGGACCGCATACTCCAGATGTGGTTGAACCAATGATCTATAAAGTCCCTGCAATAGATCCCCCTTTTAATACAGGACACAGCCCTACTAGCTTTGTTTACAGCAGCCTGGCACTGCAAGTTCCCTTTCAATTTATGGTCTACAATGCCCCCCAAATCTCTCTCCATTTCTGACTTCCCCAGCGGCATTCCCATAATGGTATACCCCTTTTTTTTTTTTATTCCAAAGTGCATTACTTTGCATTTATCAACATTAAACCTCATCTGCCACATTAATGCCCATTCCCCTATTTTATCCAAGTCCTCCTGTAATGCCACAATGTCTAAGTCCGTGTCTATTACCCTCCCAATATTAGTATCATCCGCAAACACTGAAATATCGCTGTTAACACCTTCCCCGATGTCATTAATAAATAAGTTGAACAATATGGGACCCAGCACAGAACCCTGAGGAACACCGCTCATTACGCTAGCCCAGTCTGAAAAGGTGCCATTTACAAACACCCTCTGGACTCGTTCCCGTAGCCAGTTCTCTATCCACGTACACACCACCTCATCTATGCCCATAGCCCTTAGCTTGTGTAGAAGCACAAGCTAGAAGGTGTAGAAGGTGGGATGAGTTAGGTAAGGAGATAGACTTACTGTATAACTTATAGAGTAAATTGTTAAAAGGAGCCATAAACTATTGTGTAGCACTGCCAAGTTTAAAGCAGAGCCTGTATATGTCATTAGCAACAGTGACTGTCCCCATGTACAGATATGATTAAAATTTATACCCAGAAAGAAGGTTTTTTTTAAAAAACATGAACACACATTGATAACATGATTTCTTTCAATCAGATCTCCTTTAAATGTATATCTAAAAACATTCAAAAGACTATAGATTCCCTAGATCCCTACAACTGTATTTTTAGTGTAAAATGACATATGTGTTAATCTTTTCTAGGATGAAATTCTGACTGTGATTAGACGTGTTGATGATAACTGGGCAGAAGGAATGCTGGGAGACAAGATTGGCATTTTTCCCATTCTGTATGTAGAGGTAAGAGGATGACCGTTATAATGTTCCTTTGATTTGGTGGCAAATGAAATCACACACTGGTACTTTTTTTTACAGACTGAAAATGAATGCGTAGCCATAAGAGCCATATAATAATACATCAAAGTTGAATAAAAATTTTGAGTGAGAAAATCAAATGTTGAGTATTATATGAAGCAAGAGCAAATTTGATGCTGCTTTTAGTCTTTACACTTTTTTATTTCTGATTATAAACAGCACTAGGCCATGTGTTCATGGAGGCAGTGTAAGAACTTCACCTCAGGCAAAAACAGCTTAGGGCATCTGAGTTTCACTCCTTACCTTCTGTTTCCTAACTTACCCTGCCTTTGCCTTGCTTCTTTGACCAGTGGCTGGGCGCTTAAGTATTGAATGCAAGAATAAGTACTGTGACACATATTACTTACACTTCATGCTATCGCTGTGCTGTATCTGCAGAAGCTAGGTGTTCTTTCTGTCCCATTTGATCCAGAATTGTTGTCAGCTGCATACATTTAGACTGTCAGGACTGCAGGTGACTGTAACAACATCACATAGGTTTCTATAGATTATATGAACAGAATAGATCCCTTAGCTTCACATAAGATAAAATGATTATTCTTCTAATAAATTCACACCTTTGATTGATTTATTTTGGGCCACATAATTCACAGTAATTGAAAGTAGATATGACAATCAAACACAATATATGAGGTCACCTTGCTGCCTGACAGATGAATCTGTATACTGCTACTATTGCATGTCAATTTTTCAGACAGCATACTTTAAGCAATACACAATGTATGAGAGAGAGCGTATGTTTTTTTTTCTGCTGCAGTATGCATAATTGTCCTAACCATGCTTGAATAACAAATATTCCTTATCCGCATTATGTTGTTACAAGTTTTTACTTGTATTTTAGCACTTTTTATGAGAGTTCAATGTCTAACATACACAAACAAGTACCTAATGCTGCAAGCTGGATAAGGGCATCCTTAGGATATATTGGCTTATCATGCTATTAGAGAAAATGGATCATACTGTGTTACAAAATTGTTAGAGGACAAGAAAAATGTTTCCTGGTCATGGATTTTCCATCAGGATAGTCATGTAAAAATGTGTTCACAGTTTACAGTAGCCAATGAGGAGTGCATTGTGTTAATACATCATTACAGCAATTACAGCAAAAAAGATCATAGTACTTCAGTATTTATACTTTCAGTATTATAGTAAAAAAATCCAACTTACAACATGTATTCTAGAGAAAGGGGCTTTAAGTGTAGAGCTCCAAAATTACTCAGCAATGAGGGCCGCAAACAGGACTTAAAACGTGTGAATGCAGTTTAAAAACCACCAGTCTGACTATTTTGCAGTCAACAATAAGGGGTTAGGGTTAGCTAAATGCATGTGGTAAGGATAAAATCTTAGATTCAACAAAAATTTTAAAGATTAGATTAAAGAGAGAATTTTAAAGGTCAAAGTACATGGGCTGGGGATCCAGCTCTGTGCATTGGGGGCCTAGGGAATGAGTTGAATGAATTGTATTTTGTTAAAGGTGAATATGTACGTTAAGTGTTGGGGGAAAGGTAAAAATAAAAGTTAGACTGTCACAAAACAGGTCAACTAAAACTGAGCGTATGGTGAAAAGAAATGCATAAGTGGAGGTTACCTCTAGACATGAAGGCAGCTGAAGCTATTTGCAAATCTCAACTTTTCCTGTAGAAATCCACATTAGACACAACCCAACCTGTTTCTCAGACTTGTCAATAGTTGGCTTAAGAGGTGGAAGTGATGATGTTTAGCTTGATATTTTCAGGCAATGCCTCGATTTGCAAATTACTTCAGATGCCTATTTCTCCAGCTCTACCCGTTGTTTTGATATGTGTTTTTTTTATTGCAGGTAGCCATTTCTTATCCAATTTTTCATAATGTGCTCCATTTCAAATGGCCAGCTGCTTGACAAGGCACTTTAAGGGTCCAAACCCTAATGTTAGAGTTAGGGTATTGAGAAGAGACACTGTCAACTGGCCATTCAGGAAAGAAGTGACAGTGCCTTATGATAGCTTACCCCTCAACACAATATACTCAATAGTCCACACTCCCTCACTTGCCTCCCTACTACAGTCCACTCTCAGTACGCTTTGGTGTCAGATGGTGTTAAAGCTTGCACAAGTGCCCCCCTGCCCATGTGACAGTGTTCAGGTCTGCCATTTGGCCTCTCAAGCTAAGCACTTGGAAGTTTTAACATGCTCCCCCATATAAGAAACACCTGCTCTATTAGAGCAACATAGGTGGGAAGGTAGAATGTATCAGGGAGTATACTTTGCTGTCTGAAAACACTGTCCTGAATGGGCAAAGTGATGGTGCCTCTTTAAATGTATAATTTCTTTGAACATCTGTTCATTGGTCAAAATTACTGGTAATATTTTTTTCCATGTCTAGATATGTAATTTAGGTAGGCAGGGATGCCCACTTTTGGAAATGCTTCTTGAGTGAATTATATAGAGCTCAAATGTTAATCAGATAGTTTGCAATCATTCTAACTATAGGACAGCAGCATATGTTGATTTTTATTACATTGCTGCTGCAAATATTTTAAAATGTAGAAGTATTTTACATTAGATATATCAAAAGGAGAAGATTTGTATGTAAATACCTCTAAGAAAAATGGTTAGCATTAATTACTTTTATCTTATAGAAAATATACAACTATACTGTATTTGGAAACTTTATTTTGGATACTATATTTGTAAATATATGTTTCTAAAAAAACTTTTAGTTCTTTTTCAAATGACATCCCATTCTTCATCTCAAAGATATCAAAAGTCTTCATCTAATTATTGACATCTAGAGAGAGTATGAAAAGTATTAAGTTTTAAACTCTTGCCGAAGTTGCATGAAGTCACTACTTAGCAGTACTCAGTTACATAATAAAATAAAGTTACAGCTTTTCAATATTTTTTTACAACTCTAGTGTTGCAACAAAGAGAGCATTTCAATCAAAAACGTATATTATTTTGAAAGAACTTGGTCTGTTTTTACTTCAGCTAATATTTTCAATGGATGTCCTGGGTTGATTTCGACCTTGTTATCTGGTGATGTATTAGTTCATCAGTGGTGCATATGGAATTCCATTTCCTATATTTTCCCTATTTTCTGAAAACCTTATAAGAAACCTGTTATGACAAAATAACAGGCTGGCATTGTGTATGATGTTAAGTCAACCCCTTTTGGCGTCAGAATTACTGACATACATGTTCAAGATTAGTGGGGTTGATTTTTTTCAAATGAGTAGAGAATGTTCACTTAGCTTAGTGAGCAAAGTAAAGCTGTTCTGATTTATTACCCAAGCATTTAGGGAGAATGGTAATTTAAGTGAAAAAATAAAGTTCCTTGCAAGTATAAAGGTCAAGCACCTGGGATCTATACATATCTACAGCAGCTTTCACATCCTGTGCTGTGACTGAATGCCAGAATAGTCAATAGGAATTAGCTAGTAAGGCAAAGAAGAATTTCCATAGGGTAGCAATCAATAAAAACAAATCAAGGATCTTCTTTTTTATGACTTCAATAAACTGATGTCTGGTTGCTCTGGGTTTCCTGTACTTTACACATCATACCTACCCCTCGAACCTCATTATTATGTAATCAGTGTGATGTATTAGAAGTTATTGCAGGTGAAATATTTAACAGGATGGCCCTATAATGTGCTAATACAAGACCAACAGCCACAGGAATGTAGGTATGCCCACAGCAAATGTTTTGACCAAATGCCATGGGTTGTGACCAGATATCTTGTTTAACTAATGTAGCTAGCTGATTTTGTTATTTGCTTAGTCTTATATTCAAAGTTAGCAAGATACCTTGTATCAGCAGCAAATCTAATCAACATGAAAAATTCAAATGTCAATGCATTTAAAATATGCTACGCTATCATTGAAATATAAAATGTGTTCTCATTATCTGAAATCAATGATTTTGCTACATTTTCACAGAGTACCTAGTAAATCTGTAATTGTTTTTAAAATTAAAGCATTAGTGGGATACATCAACACAACCTGTATATACCAACTTCTATTAAAAATAACTTTTTCAGCTTCTTATGTTTTCTCCTGTCTCATGAATCACCATGCTTCTGAGACACACAGAGGCTGAGTTACTAAAGTGGTAATTTATTTATAATAGATTTTGTTCCCTTCAAAACACTGTCCAGTGCAGGGGAATTAAAAGAACTATACATTGTAATAGTTTAGTAAATCTGCCCCAGGGACTCCTATGTCCTGTGTCTTTAGTTGGTGTTAATCACAAAAAACTACCCTTTCATCAAAAAACAATGAAATCCCATTTTGTTCAATATACACCAACCTGTCATGTAGATGGTTGAGAAAAAAAGGCCACTTGTAGATTGTGAAACAACCCCTTAGGCACAATAGATCCTGATGCATTATTGCTGTATGTCTTTCAAGGATATTTCCTCCTCCGTATTGTGTCTGTAGAATTAGGATTGCCTGTAATAACTGTCAGTCAGTGAGAGCACTGCTGGTAATTTCAAGTGTCACAAGGTTTGATTCTTCCAGCACAGATAATGCATTTATTGCTGGACATGATAGACGTGGTAATTGCAGTTTAATGTTCAGTGGTTTCTAACTTTATAAATCTGGAAACAGCACCCAGTGTTCCTCCTTACTAACAGCAATTTTTGTTGTTCTGTAGTGAGAGTTTTTATTTCTAATATTTTTTCTTGTCCTCAATTGTCTTAGAAAAGTGATACAATTGCTTTAATAAAGGAAAGGGCAGTAACCCACAAATGGTAATAAGTAAGACACAGTCACTGCTACGACTTCACTTGACTGCTGTCCCATTCTCTTCTGTGCTACATGCTACCTTTTTACTAGAACCAGATGTACAGTTAGGCAAAATAGGTTTGTGTATATGGAAAGAAGAGGCAACATTACAGCTTTTTCTGTGTATTGTATTTTCTGTGTTCATTGTTCCACACATTTTTT